AATTGTTATAAACAATAATAGTTAACAAATAATGAACTTTGGTTCCTCTGCACCAAAAAGAATTTTTTCCATAGTTTTCATTGAAGTTTATTACAAAGAATATATGTTAAAAAATAGTGAACGTATGAAATAGTTTGTTCAATAACTATAAACAATTTAATATATATAAATTTGTATTAAATGTTTTTTTTCTTTCCTTGTGTTTTTTAAAATTAAAATAAAAAAATTAATTAAAATAAAATAAATGCAATTAATATATATTCTGAACATTAAAATGTTTATTGCTTTATTTTGAGACAAACATTCTTTGCAATAAACTTCATTGAAAACTATGAAAAAAATTCTTTTTGGTGCAGAGGAACCAAAGTTCATTATTTGTTAACTATTATTGTTTATAACAATTAAAAATAGTTTTTTAACGAAAGGGAGATGTATTCATTAAATGAACCTAAAGTACAATATGAATATGAAAGAACAAAGTTTTTTTATGGAGAGGAACCAAAGTTAACTATTTGTTAACTAATATTGTTTATAAGTGTTTAGATAAATTATTTTATGTTTTACTATTTATCTGGTGGTCATATATTATATTAATTGAATCTGATTTAGGACATGTGTAGTAGCAAAATAAGAAAATAATCATTCATTTTTAAAGGAAACTACACAACTAATTTGTTAACTTTTAGTATTTAAAAAAAAATTATAAACAATTTAAGATTCTTAGGTTTGCATGGAGGGATATGTTCAGAAATTGTTCTCCTTTTATTTAAAACAAAAAACACTCGAATCGATTAAAAATTTTAGTCTGTAGATATTTTTTGAGAAGTAAATTGTAAAAAAATTCCATTGTGAGGCGTTTTGTAGAACACGAGCACCTTGCACGTGATTTTTGAAAATTTTGTACAACTCATTAAACGCGTCGGCCCACTCCAAAACTTTTTGGAAAATCTTCTGTATATTATAAGGTATAAATAAATTTTAAAAAAATAAAAAAGAAAAGGGTCCAAAGTTAAAAAAAATTAATTTGTTTATAAAAAAAAATTTTTTTTTAATAAAAAATTAAAAAAAATTTTTTTTTACATTTCTTAAAAGTTGAAAGAAAACTAAAACTTTCATTTCTTGACAAGTTTTTTCTACACTCAATATTTTCAGACTTATAAGCTACTGAAAATATGTCTACAGTTACAAATCCAAAATTTCGAAAATTTATAACTCGAAAATTTAGGCGATTAAACAAAAATAAAAAAACACGTGTTTCTTTTTTTTCCATATAGATTGAGAAAAAAATATGTTTAACCCAATTTTCAAGGTCATAGGTAAATCTTGCGTGGAATTGCCCATATATTTAATTAAATCACGAAATCATAATATACAGACGGATTAATACAGAAATTGAAAGATAATATTTATATATTAAAAATATTTTGTACATATTTTGTTGGTTTTTAAAAATATGTATTAAATGAGAAATAATTATTAAATTGATTTAATCTGTTGTACTGTAGGTAAGTAGGAGCGCTATGCATATGTCGTATTGACAGAGTACAGTAGTGCGCCAATATTTGAATTTATAGTGAAGTTAACCTATTAAATTTAAATACTTTTGAATTCTTACTTTATTTTCTACAAAATATTAATTGTTTATTTATTTTAAACGTACATTTAATGTTTTTTATTTTTGTATTTCTGTTATTGTCAAATGTAAGAATTGAAAGAAATAAGTTTTCTTTATTTGAAAAAAATCAAATTGTTTAAATTAACAAATTACATACTTTAAGTAATAAAACAACTTTTAATAATCCTGTAATGTATGTGAGATTTATTTAACATATTTTAAATAGATATCACCTCAGCAGTATTTTGTAAACAAATGTTTAATTTAATAAAAATTAAATAAATAAAAATCTTAAAGAAAATATACGGTTACAGTTGTTTAATTTTTTTTAAACCAGCTTACGTTCATAAAAGAAAATTCATTGTTTTTATACTTTTAATCGAAAAATTATAATTTTTTATTACTAAATTTAATAAATTTAAACCTCGTATATACAAAAATATTTCCTATTGTATGAAAAATTAAAAATCAAAGAAGAAACTCTTTCACTTTTTTGACTCGCATTTGGAAACAAATTAACTAAAAATTCATATTAAAATTTATAATTATCTCTTATTAATACTACAACAAAAATCCACTTTGATTTTTTCATTTTGCAAACTTTAATTAAAAATAGGAGATTGTTTCTATTTACCCCAAAAGACTGGAAATTCGGGGTAAATAGAAACAGAATAATTTCAACAATATTTCTTATAATAGAAAGAGAGAAAATTGTTTCTGTCAAAGTACAACACTATTTTTAGCATTATATAGGGGCCGTCCATAAACCACGTGGACAATTTTTCACCAATTTTTGACCCCTCCCGCCCTCCGTTGTGGACAGTCGTGGACATTTGTCAAACCCCCTCCCCCCTATACAATTGTCCACGTGGATATTGCAAATTAAAAAAATAAGTTTTTTTGTATTCCTGTATGTTAAAAAATAAAAAAGATTATTTTTGAACATATTTCAAAGCAAGAATGTCAGTATTGTCAGGGAAATGTCAGGAAAAAATATTTTGTCAGGGAAATTAAGCAAATTGTGACTTCTTTCGACTCATTTAAAAAAATTGCGATAAAATACCACAATTTTCAGTAAAAAAAAGTACAAGTTATTTTGATTTTTATAATGTGAAAAATAACTATAAACAAATCTTTTTGAATAGTTGAAATTTTGTAAAATTTAATTGAAAATAATTAATTAATTAATTAATTTATTTCAAGTCTTTTGTTACAATTTTTGAATAATAAAAAATCTTTAAAGGTAAATTTAAAAATAAAAATTAATGAAAATTAGCTTCTAATTTTTTAAAATTCAATATTTTCAATTACATATTTTCAAAAATTCAAATATATACAAAAAGATAACATTTTAAAATTATTTTTAACATTTTAGAGGATCCATGTTCAAAATTTTTAATTAAAATTTATTAATCAAATTCAAAAATAATTTAAAAATATAACAAAATTTTAGAAGAACTTTCGGAAAATTATTTGAATTAATTGATTCAGAGACGAAGGTTTAGTTGGAAATTGTAGAAAATAATTGAATTCAGGAAGGGTTATAATTGTCACTTTAAAAAATAATTAAAATCGTAAAGGACCCCGCACTAAACACACTGAAAATGGCTTTCGGTTATTTATTTCTTGACCTTCGCTTAATTATTTTTTTAAACAGAAAACCTTTAACTAAAAAATTTGAAAATATTAAGAATTTTAACCGAAAGCCATTTTTTAGTGTATTTAGTGCGTTGTCCTTTTAACCACTTCACTGGCGGGGCGTTCCAAATGGCGTTCCACGCGCCGAGGCCCAGACTGGCAAAAACACCGAAATGGCGTTCCTAATAAAACTTTATTTTTAAAGAGTGTACACTACTTTTTACTACTACAAAGCAATATTTCTATAGTTTAGACATCAGGGAACAAGATTATCACAATGAAAATTTCAGTTTTTGAGATTTTCAATGTTTCTTCGAACGTTGAAATAGTCGATTTTTAACACTTTTTAACAAATGGCGTTCCACTTTTGTTATTATTAATAATTATTAAATTTTATTTATTAATTATTTATATTTATTTTTTACTTATTACATTATTATATTATAATGTTTTGTATGTAAATATATTTTTTAAATAAAAAATATTAGTTTTACTGTGTAAAAATTAAAAAAAAGTGGAACGCCATTTGGTGAAAAGTGGTAAAAATGGACTATTTCAACGTATGAAAACACATTGAAAATCCCAAAAACTGAAATTTTCATTGTGATAATCTTGTTCCCTGATGTCTAAACTATAGAAATATTGCTTTGTATAAGTTAAAAGTAGTGTACACTCTTTAAAAATAAAGTTTTATTAGGAACGCCATTTCGGTGTTTTTGCCAGTCTGGGCCTCGGCGCGTGGAACGCCATTTGGAACGCCCCGCCAGTGAAGTGGTTAATCATTTTCCGTAAACATTCATATTTTCCTGTAAAATAAGAATTTTGTCAGGGAAATTAATTTTAATGTCAGTAAATTTTTAGGGAAATTGATTAACTGAAACTTATGATCATCCTGATTAAACTTAAGATATCTTTTTTGGAAATATCTTTGGTTATATGTCCACGTTGACATTTGCTTTAACACCCCCGCCTCCCCTCCGTGGACTTCTGATTCACCCCCCCCCCCCCAAATGTGTCCACGTGGTTTATGGACGGTCCCATATGAGAATCAGAGAGAATAGAAGAGAAAAAGAGAGAACAAACCTTCATTTGTGTAATGTGTTTCATCTTTTGGCTTTAAAACCCGACTTTTTTTTAGAAAAGTGCAATTTTCTTCATTTTTTTGACAGCCGTTTTTATTTTGAAAAACTGACATCGGATTTATAATCAGCGACCTCAAAAACCCTCAAGTAATCATTTTCATTAGCTTAGCCTCATTTAATTTTCGATTTTCTAATTTTGCTGTAAATCTTGCCATAAACATTCTTTTTTTATTATTGTTAGAATTAAAAAATTATTAATTCTTTATTGCACTATAAATTTTTTTCATAAAGTAGAATAAATTTCTGGGTGTTGGGTGTTTGGAAATCAAAAATATTTTAATTTTTGTCAAATTTATGAAAGTTTGAAGTCAAAAGTGGTTTTCATCTAAATCGCTGGGCGTTAAAGGGTTAAACTTACGCAATGCATTAATATTTATTAGTTTGAATTATTTTATAATTAACATCATTTTTAATGTAATTCTTTGTATCATTTAACATTTCCATACTTGAAATTGATTTTTTCTAAAATTTTGTAAGAAATAATTCCCATATTTTCTTCTACTCCATAAAATTGTTCCAGGGAAGTGAAATAATGACTCAATACACAAAAAAATCGAAAGTATTCGGATTTAAAAGAAAAAACTTATGTTTATTTTTTTAGTTTTTTATTTATCGAAATAAATATGTCCGCCTTTATTAATTATAATGATCTTGCTTTCTTCTTTTGTCTTCTTCTTATCTGAAACAAAAAATATTCAATTAATATTGATTATAATAACAGGGTTGCCATAAAATTTTTATTTTGTTTTTCTCTGATGTGCAGAGAATATTTAGACTTTTTCTCTGACTCTAAAGAATATTCTGATTCCCTTTAAAAATTATTAGATACTCAAAAGAAAGTTTTTTTTCATTTATTTAGGGATTTTTATTAATTTTAACATTATTCACAAACAGCGTAATAACTTCATTTTTAAATAAATATTTAATTATCATTATTTTTCCATAGGAACAAAGATTTTCAATAAATTCAAAATATTATTACCTTTCTGAAATTAAACGACTTATTAAAATATTGTTATAAAACATGAAGAAATCGATGACTCTTCGACTCGGGGTGATCGATTTCTACATGTTTTATAATAATAAAATAGATGACCGAGTGATAAAATTATTATTGTTTTGTATTGTAAGACTATATTTTTATTATAACTACCTACTTCAATATTATTTTTATCACTTCAATTCAATTTGTTATTTTCTACAATTTTTAAATAAAATTCTTCTTTAAAATATTATTTTTCAGATTTTTTCATACAGTTTATTTGAGAATTTTCAAATTCATTTCCTTATAATTCAATTTTAAGAAATTTCGATTATGCGAAAGTTCTTCGATTAAATATGCATCAGAAATAAAAACTTAAATAATTTAAAAATATTTCGATTAAGGTCATGGCCAAGTTGTAAAATGTAAACAAACAAAAAGGTAGAAAAACCAAATACTAAAACCGCAATTTTGTAAAAGCCTTTTCTCCCACGAAAATTAACATTTTCATAACGCGGTGCAAAAAAGGGCACTTTTTTGCACCTTGTTATGAAAAATATCGTTCGTAACTCGTTACGAAATATACTATTTTACACTTTCTTTACGAAAATGGTAAATTGGAATGTCAAATTTTTCAATGAAATCATTTTTGGCCATGAGCAATAAAAAGCAATGAGTAAAATAACAAATTAGAATGATGAATAAAATAGTATTTTTTACGCGTCGCGAAAAATAAACTGTTTGACTATAAATCAACCGTACGGATGATGAAGAAGTCCCAGTTAGCGATTTGACGTTCAGCATGAGGAATTGCTTTTGGCCAAAAATGATTTCATTCGAAAATTTAACACTCCAATTTTCCATTTTCGTAAGGAAAGTGCTAAAATGTCAATTTTTATAGGAGAAATGGCTGTTTGAAAATTGCGATTTTTGTGTTGGGTTTGTTTACATTTCAGAACTTTACATTTTACAACATTCTGTAAAAAATGAGTTCCATACAAGTTTTAATTAAAAGTATGAATAAATCAGATTTTCAAAAATTTTAATTTGAAACTTTTACAAAATTTAATAACTTTAAAAATTGCAATTATTAATAACTTCTTAAAAATTATATTATTATCTAAAACTTTAACTGAAATTTATTTTTAAATCAATTTTTATTAGAAAATTGTACAAGAATTCAATTAGGTTCATTTGGGGTAAATGTAAACAGTAGTGTTACGGCCGAACTCCGTAACTTTTTATATTGTTAATACCTTTTTTAATTATATTAAACTAAAATTACATGCAACAATTACACGCAACATGAGATTTTGTTAAACATCACAAAAACATTTACACAAAATACAACCCTTTGTAATTTCACAAAAGGGACATTCTTCTTTTTGAATATTTAAATCTAAAGTATTTTAATCGGATAAAAATCTAATTTTATTTAATTAATAGATTTAATGAAATTTAACATTCCTTTGAATTTCACAATTTCGAGGTGAAAACCTAAGAATATAACAGGGTATTTCTTAATAAATTCCTTTCTTGGACAAACAGTTTGTTGACCTTTGGAGAAATATCTAGAAAATATAAAAGAATAAATTGCCCAATATAAGGAGTGGTGCATCCAAGTCACTGAACCCGGATCACGCCACTGCCTAAATCTGCAAGCTTGCAGAATTGGCTTGGCAACAGTCAAGTGCAATAAACTTAACATACGATTTCCCCACTAAATCGTCTTTCAATAAAATTGATTGACACTGGGAAATCTGGGCAGTTTAAGCCAGGCCGTTGTAGCCGGCAGTTAGCCCGGGCAGTTTGGGCCCGCAGTTTAGTCCAGGTCGTAGTCACCTGTAGTTGTAGCCGGCAGTTTTGGCCAGGCAATTCTAAGTCCGGCAATCGGCCGTGTTCAATTAAATTTTGTAATCCCTGAGCAAGGGATTTCCTTAGAAGTTAACGGGTTTAATAAAAAGTTTGATCAGAAAAGTGAATTTGAATTGAGAATAAAAATATAAAGAAATAAAAAGTAAAGAAAGGTTGAATTTAAAAGTTATATTGAGAATAATAAAAGTGACAAGTGAAAAAGTAGAATAATTAAAAGAAAATATAGAAAATAAAGTCTTTATTTTGTGCAATAAAAGGTATATTAAGGTTCAAGACGAAATATCAATCTAGTGAACCTAGATTGGGTATTTCTTTAGTTTTTCGGAGATACAACGCGAAATTTACGAAGTCAGAACGTGTCATTGGATTAATATTTCAAGGAGATCGAATTACTGAGTAGTGAGTATAAAAGACTTACACCACATAACACACACTACAAGTTCAATCACACATATATAAAGTACTTTCTTTACACACATAAAAATTATATTACTTGTATTAGGGATTTTTTGGGTAAAATATATAATTCATGGTTTACATCTTAATTTTGCATTTTAATTTAAACATCCTAATTAATTTTCCTATCTTCTCATTTTTCTTAAGAGTAGGGTTCTCAACCTCTTAGTTGAATCAATAACTAAGTAGAGGGGGAATCCACTACCTTTACAATTTCTTTGTCCGAAGGACACGTGAGTTAAAGTTTTAAAAATTAATCTTTTAAAATTAAATTTCTAAATCCTACTTTAACAAGTAGATGTTTCAGCTAAATTTACAAATTTAAAAATAAGTACGACGTCAATATTTTTACCTCAGCTCACCTACAAGATTTTTTGAGTATTGCCAATGTTTTATTTTGACAATTGCCAATCAAAGACAAAATACTGAAACAGTAAATGTTCCAGTATTTTGTCTCGCATTTGCATAAAAGTAAATTAAAAAATCAAACTAAAATTTGTAATTCTTCCTTATATATGCCTTAACAAAAATTGACTTTGATTTTTGATTTTCGTTAATTTAGTTAATAAATAATTAAGAGTTTACATTTACCCGAGAATTCGAAAACTCGGGGTAAATGTAAACAGAACTTGAACTACATTTTAAAAGAAAATAATTGAATGCCAATTTTCATATATTTGCCAATTTCATTACTTTGGCAATATAAAATTACATAGAAAAGGAAATTAGGTCTTTTTTCATACCTCCTTCGTGTTAGTCAGTTAGTCACAGTTTATGTTTGACCGCCATAATGGATCAAGTTCAAGTTATTCAAGTTTTTACATTACTAATTTTGTAATTGTTGATTGTTCATTTTATATGATACATTATCAGTCAACTGGTTGATTTACTATACATCTACGAAGAATTTTTTTTTCAGTTTTTCCATCCCTTAAAACAGTAGTATACTTGAAATAACTTGTTTCTTAAACCTCGCTTAACTACAATAGTGTTTACATTTACCCCGAATTTTAGAAAAATTTCAAAATCTCGGGGTAAATCTAAACAGTCAGTTTTAGGGGATTCAGGTGCATCAATATTTTTTTGTACCTCATCAAATTTTTCTTAGGGAACACTAGCAACAAGTTCATGTAAAAGAAATCCGTCCGTTTTACCTTTTAACAAAAAAAAAACTAATGTTTTTGGTGAAAAACAGATATTCCGTTAACATTTACCCCAAATGACCCTATTTGAATACAAAAAAAAATTTATTGAAAAATTAAATGTTTTTTATAAAATTGAATTCTTATACATAATTTTATCAACTCAAATAATTGAATTCTTTCGACGAATTTTAATAAAAAAATTTTAGAATTATATACTTCTTTTTTATTTTTATTTATTTTTTTTCTATACCTCTCAGATCATTCGTTCCACCTTCTTCTTTTCGTTTCATTTCTCTCGATCTTCCGGACTGTTCCTCTCTGATCTTCTTTCCATCTTTTTTTTTCTTCTTTTTGTCTTTCTTCATAAGCTGTAAATAAACATTTATTTCATTTAATTAGTGGAATTTCACTAAATGATCAGTGAAATCTTAACTTAAAAAAATAAAATGAGAAAATAACTAGAGGTATCGCTCTTCAATAAAAAAGAAAAAAAAATTTGTGGAAGAAGAAATTCGAAAATTTTTCTTGTAATCTCTTTACTTGTTTTTTAACATATGGGGCCGTCCATAAACCACGTGGACAATTTTTAACCAATTTCTTGCCCCCCGTTGTGGACAGTCGTGGTCATTTGTCAAACCCCCTCCCCCCATATACAATTGTCCACGTGAATACTGCAAATTAAAAAGATTAGTTTTTTTTGTACTCCTGTATGTTAAAAAATTAAAAAGATTATTTTTGAACATATTTCAAAGCAAGAATGTCAGTAAAGTCAGAGAAATTAAGAAAATTGTGACTTTTTTCGACTCATTTAAAAAAATTGTGACAAAATATCACAATTTTTAGTACAAAAAAAGTACAAGTTATTTTGATTTTTATATCGATATAAATTCGGAGTAGAAGTGAGAAAATTGTGAATTATATAAACATAGAAATTATAAAAAAATATTGTACTTTTGAAAATTGATTTAATGGTAAATTTTGTTGGCAGCTTTTTCGTAAAATTTATTTTTTCGTCTTATACCCAGAGAAAAATTTTATTAGACCATAAATATATTTTATTAAAATTAAGTAAACGTATATTTCTCTCATAACTAACTAGTCTTCTATATATGAGCGGATGGGAATACAATTCGCCAAAAACGCGATGAAAAGATATTATACCAGTCAGGTTGCAGTGTGTGGCCCAGAGGCTCTCATTGCTACCTGATTGATATTACATTGCATGCAATCGCGCGCCCGGATAGTTACTTTTCCCGTCCGCTCATATAGCAAGTTTTGCTCATGCGTGAATAGTAACTGAATTCCCTTCATGTAAATTAATTAATCTTACATTAAACGCAGCAGCTCTTGCAATTTTAGTTTTCCCACCACTCCTGCTTCTACCGTACCTCTCCATGTTTCTTCCCTGTAATGTAACAATTTTTTTTATTTTACAAGAAAATTTTTATTGTTTAAATTGCAAATTTTATATTTTGAAACGTATACATAACTTTAACTTTGAATAACCTTCTACTTTACTATATTTAAAAAAAGTTGAAATAACTTATTTTATCTAATTCATTTGCTCAGTATACGAATACTTGGGTATACGCCCGAAAATACCAACCCGAATCCGTACACCTGAATGAATATTTTTCCGAATGAACATTTACCCGATTTTTTTGCCTTAATTCAATTACCCAAAAATTTTTTATTTCATTTAAAGTAATTAACAATTAGTATGTACCTACTAGAGCTGTGCAAAATTCGAACAGAACCGAGTTTTGTTCGGTTTTTGGGAGCCGATATGTCGAATATTCGACATTAGAACTAGGCTAACTCGAATGTCGAATATTCGACATTCGAACTAGGCTAACTCGAATGTCGGTTTTTCGACATTCGAACTGGGCGACTGAAATGTCGAATTTTAGAATTCGACATTTGAGCGTTCCAAAACTGAACAAAACTCGGTTTGGTTCGAATTTTGTAGTAACTTGAATGTCGAATATTCGACATTCGGTCTAAGCTAACTAGAATGTCGAATTTTCGACATTCAAACTAGGCAAAAAAATTCGAACAGTTCGGTTCGAATTCTTTTGCACAGCTGTAGTACCTACATAAAGTCTATCTTTTAAAGAATTTCTTTGTATTTTTTTACAACAATGTAGTTTCTTTATTTGTGGACGTCCACATGAAAAGGGCCCATTTTTGCACTATTGGAGTTATCTATATGGGCGTATTCCTGGCAAAATTTGGAAAATTTTAAGTGGTCTTAGAACTATTTTGGTTAAAAATTCGCTGAGTTACGTAATTTCAAAGTTTAGAACGCTAAAAACCTCATTTCGAGAAAAACGGAATTAAAGATTGCGATACCAACTAATTGTTGTATCTCTGGTTTTTCTTAGAAGTTATTCAGATAAGAATTGTTTCCAGTTCAGGGCACCTTGAAGATAAAAAACCAACAGGTTTTAAATTTTTAGAACCACCCCCTCCCCTTAATTAATTAATTAATTTAAAAACCGACAATATGGGCCCTTTTCTAAAAAGGACAGTTTTTCTATTAAAAAACAATTTTTTTACAAGATAAATGATTGGGTGCAATTTTATTGTGTCATTTGAAGAAAAATAATCGAAATTAAACTTATTTAAAGTTTTTTGACAGTCTCTATTATAAAAAAATTGACGCAATATCCAAATTTTCATTTCGACAATTACGAAAACAAAGATTCTAACATCAATATCTCTGGTTCTTCTGGGAAGTTATTCAGATAAGAATTGTTTACAGTCCAGGGTACCTAAAAGATCAAAAACCAATAAGTTTAAAATTTTTAAAACCATCCCCCCTCTTAATTTTGAAAATACGAAAAACTGACAATATGAGCCCTTTTCTAAAAAGGACAGTTTTTCTATTAAGAAACCATTTTTTTACAAGATTTATGATTAGGTACAATTTTATTGTGTCATTTGAAGAAAAAGAATAGATATTAAACTTATTAAAAATTTTTTGACAGTCTCTATTATGAAAAAATTGACGAAATATCCAAATTTTCATTTCGATAATTACGAAAAAAAGACTCTAACATCAATATCTCTTGTTCTTCTGGGAAGTTAATCAGATAAGAATTGTTTACAGTCCAGGACACCTTAAAGATGAAAAATTAAGAGGTTTTAAATTTTTCCACACCTCCATTTTTAAAATACGGATTAATTTTGCAAATGACCGACAAAATGAGCCCTTTTCATTTTTCTAAAGAACCAATGAAATCAAACAGTTAAATTATCGATAAATTAATAAAAACCGCATGATTCGACTTGTCAACACATGTAGATTGATAATAAAAAGTAAACAAAAATTAAGATTTTGCTCCAAAATTACTAAATTGCGATTATCTCGAGAACTAGAACCGACAATATGGGCCCTTTTCATGTGGACGTCCACATTTATTCATTAATAAAATATTATTTATTAATTAGTAAAGTAATTAAATTCTTTTTACAATTTGAATTTTATTACAATATTATAAAATAATTTAATTCACTCAAGGAATTTTAATTAAAGATTTTAAAGTTAATTGAATTAAACACATTCAGGGCTCGGATTTTTAATTAGGTATTTTTAACATTTTTTTTAAAAATTCTCTTTAAAATGTAAATTATCTTTATAAATAATAAAATTCTTCTCTGAAATTCAATTATTTTAATAAGTAATAAAATTCTTCGCAGAAATTCAACTATATTCAAATTTTTTTTTTAATTTCTCGTCAAAATTTTATAAATAATAAAATTCATTATGGAAATTTAACTATTTTCAAAAGTTCTGATAAAACTCTAATACTTACTTTCAAACATTTTTAAAGAAATCTGTTCAAAATTTCAATTATCTTTATAAATAATAAAATTCTTCTCTGAAATTGAATTATTTGTAAAAATAATAATAAAATTCTTGTCAAAATTTTAATTATCTTTATAAATAATAAAATTCTTCTCTGAAATAAAATTATTTGTAAAAATAATAATAAAATTCTTGTCAGAATTTCAATTATGTTTATAAATAATAAAATTCTTCTCTGAAATTCAATTATTTTCATAAGTATTAAAATTCTTCGCAGAAATTCAATTATATTCAATTTTTTTTTCAAATTCAAATGAGCGGATGGGAAGAAGAACTCGCTGAGCGCGAGACCATAAAGGATAGTTCCAGTCAGGTAGTAGTGTGTGGCCCAGAGGCGCTCACTGCTACCTGACTGATATTATCCCTTACGGTCTCGCGCTCGGTGAGTTCTTCTTCCCATCCGCTCAAATATTCTCGATAACATTCTTTACAAAATTCAATTATCTTCAAAAGTAAGAAAATTCTTCTGCAAAATTCAATTATTTTTAAATATTTTTAAAAAAATCTGTTCAAGATTTCAATTATCTTCATAAATAAAAAAATTCTTCTCTGAAATTTAATTATTTGTAAAAATCCTCTATATTATATTAAGTTAATGTACGACCGACCGACCGACCGACCGACCGACTCACACCTCTTTCTATCTGTCTAACATCTATTAGAATACTTCACTCACACACATGTCCAAAAAACATATACCCATGTATGTTACACATATACTCTAAACACATATATGTACATGTCATGTCACGCATGCGCAGTAGTATCCTATCAATGTTAGGCATGCGCAGTAGTGTTCTACGAATGTTAGGCATGCGCAGTAGTGTTCTACCAAAGTTAGGCATGCGCAGTAGTGTTCTATGAATGTTAGGCATGCGCAGTAGTGTTCTACCAATGTTAGGCATGCGTAGTAGTGTTATACGAATGTTAGACATGCGCAGTAGTGTTCTACGAATGTTAGGCATGCGTAGTAGTGTTATACGAATGTTAGACATGCGCAGTAGTGTTCTACGAATGTTAGGCATGCGCAGTAGTATCCTATCAATGTTAGGCATGCGCAGTGGTATCCTATCAATGTTAGGCATGCGCAGTAGTGTTCTACGAATGTTAGGCATGCGCAGTAGTGTTCTACCAAAGTTAGGCATGCGCAGTAGTGTTCTATTAAAGTTAGGCATGCGCAGTAGTGTTCTACGAATGTTAGGCATGCGCAGTAGTGTTCTATGAATGTTAGGCATGCGCAGTAGTGTTCTACCAATGTTAGGCATGCGTAGTAGTGTTATACGAATGTTAGACATGCGCAGTAGTGTTCTACGAATGTTAGGCATGCGCAGTAGTATCCTATCAATGTTAGGCATGCGCAGTAGTATCCTATCAATGTTATGCATGCGCAGTAGTGTTCTAGCAATATTAGGCATGCGCAGTAGTGTCCTATCAATGTTAGGCATGCGCAGTAGTGTTCTATCAATGTCAGGAATGCACAGTAGTGTTCTATCAATGTTACGCATGCGCAGTAGTGTTCTATAAATATCAAGCATGCGCGCAAATCACCCACACATATACACTAATCACATGTACATGTATGCTCACACATATACATAAATTACATACACATGTATACTGACTCATATGCAGATATAAAATCATACATATACACAAATCACATATATAGATTTAATAAACGATTGATAATATAAGTTGTTGAATTTTTTAATTTTGTGTATTTACTTATTTATTTGTTTGATATAAATTAACAATAATATTTAAATGGATAATCAGTGAAAAATGACTGAGATTTCTGTAAGTGTAATTTTCTGCTGATTTTCAGTAAAATTATTTGTTTGACAGAAATTTACAATAATAATAAAAAACATAATAAAATGACAATCAGTGAAGAATGACTGATATTTTAGTACTTTTTAACTGAATCCAGTATAGCGGACGAAAATGAAAGATTTTGTAAGAGAATACGTAAAAATAACATTTCGTATAATGTACAATGACATTTTTTTAAAATGTCACTTCTTAATTTTTGTCTTATTACACAATGATTTTAAATAAAATAATTTTTATTCTTATAAATATTAATAATTTTTTACATTTTCTAACCACTATAACCCAGTGTACACGTACTGGAACAATTCTGGAACCGTTCCAGAACTGTTCTTTATTTCCATTAACTGTTCTAGAACAGTTCTAGAACGTGCACACTGGGAGGTTTTAATTTTGTAAATGTTCAAACTCTGGTTTAGAAAGAAAAATTTATATTATTATACAACTATATTGTCTAGACTTGCAAAAACCCAAAGTCTAGACAAAGTCGTAACAATATTGTTACAATACATATTGTAACAATATTGGTGACGGTGATGTGCGTAAGAATAGTGCAGTAAAAATTTAAAAAAAACATTTCTCAAAAAAATTAATAAAACAGCATTTTTATATACTTTACGAGATAAAAATTCCTAAAAAAAGTGTTGAAATTATTTGATTGGGGAGCGTTTACAAATGATGTCACGCAATTTTTCGGGATTTTA